GAGTTGTCGATATATCGGTTGGATCCCCAAGACGAGCCATACATGAAAAAGGTCATAGCATTGCTGGATAGTCTAAAAATTATGACGGAAGAGCTATCAACATCACAGTAAGTTATTACGGAAAATATAACACGCTGTAATAGCATCACATACAGCAATGTATTAAGCAACATGGTCCGTCAATAGTTACCCGTCTATCAACAAAGTAATCTTCGCATACAACGTGCTCATTGACGATCTCGAAGACTTCCAAGACGACACGTCAAATCCGCAAATCCTGCGTGACGCAGCAAGACAGGCCCAAGCAAAGCTTAAAATGTATTATGCAAGAACCGATTCGTTCACTGTATATGCCGTCGCCACAGCAATGAACCCGTGCCTGAAGTATGCTTACTGGGATGAACGGGAATGGGAGCCAGAATTTAAAGAGACAGCTAGAATGAGTGTCGAAGCAGAATGGAGCACGTTCAAGACTGTGAGTGGCACCACTGACCGTGAGGCTGGAGCACTGTCACCTGAGGAGATACGTCGCAATCGCTACCGTCCCAAGAGGCAAAGAATCCAAGATGAGTTGACAGCATATGTAAGCGAGCCACAGACAGCACTTGCCGAAGGTGACGATAATAGACGACCGGTAAGCTACGAATTGGAGTACTGGCAACGCACAAGCACAACGTACGTGCAGTTAGCAAAAATGGCACGCAAGTTTCTCGCCATCCCTGTAACATCAACATCTTGCGAGCGCTTGTTTTCGGATGTCAAAGGATTCGTGCCATCTGAATGAAACAGATTATTGCCGGAAGCATTACAAGAAAGCGTTTTGGTAAAGGCTTGGTCAAAAATAACAACCGACTAAAAAAATTTCCACTACCTTTATCCCTTTTTTTTTCTCACTTTCCGATCTTTTTCGTTCCTATTTGATTTGTCTCTTTTTCACTCCTCTTTCCTTTCGTTCATTTTTTTTGCTCCTATTGCTAAACTGCTCACTTACTTTTTACACTTCTTCCTGTTTCCTTTTTTAACGGCCTTCCCTATTTTGTTCTTCCTTTTACTCTAAAGTCTAAGTTATCTTTGGTCTTCAGGTATCCTTATTTATTAAATCCTATATACTTTGCACCGTTAGGCCTTAGCGCTTCCCCTTATCTTCATACTTTGCCCTTCATATAAAGTTATTATAAAATAAACAGTATTCGCATATGTCATCATAATATTCTTTTTTCCCTTTCGTATATCTTGCTATACACTTGAATAAAGGAACCGTTGGATAACTAGTACTGTCCCAAATCTAAACTATATACACTTGGGTCACAACGGGTCAACGGGTCGGGTCAAGGGTTGGACGGGTCGACCCGTGGGTCAGAAAAGCAGCAACCCGACCTATTGACCCGTCCTTGACCCGTGGGTCAGATTGCGACCTGCAGGTCAGATTGCGACCCTTAGGGGGTGGGGGTCTGGGGGGAACCCCCATGAAACATCCAATCCGTTGAATGACCCAGAGCGCAGCGAAGGGGCTCATTCAGCCAAGCGAAGTGAGGCAGGTGGATGTTGATTTACCACGTAAAATAAAAGTAATCTACTCTTAAAAGCAAAATACCTCAGGTCAGGTCTTTTTCTTTTTTGGCTTCACGCTGCTGTAGTTGTAATAGAGAAGAAAATAAAATAAACAAGTTTTGAATTATAGAAATTGCATCAGATTTAAAAAGCATTTTGAAGAAATCTAATGCGATGGCGAATCTAGAAACTTGTAGATGGTCAAATAAATAAAAATGTTGAAGAATTTGATTTGGTAATTGGCAAAAAAAAAAAAGTAAATAAAAAAGGAGAAGAAAGCAAAGTGGTGGAGACAAGCATAGTGGCAGTAAAAGTCTTAGAGTAGGAAGAAGCACAGAAGTCCAGGTGGTGTAAAAAAGGATGTAAGTAGGGGAGCCAATTTTATCCATTTGCTGCATCACAGCTCTGAAAGCACACTGAAAGCACACTGAAATCGGGCAGCGGTTTTTAAATAAGTATAAACTCCAGACTACTGTATCTGCTTTTGCAAACAATGGGTCGTACGGGCCGGCCGGCTACGGCTTGGTACGACTCCCGGCATGCACGAGTTCGAACCGTGCAGCCGGCACTTTCTTGGTTTTTGTGAGAGAAATGTCGCAGCATGTTTCTCGGCCTGAAACATAAACCAATGAGATCCACGGACCAATCGTGTGTATTGTCCGTGTTCCTCTTTTATCCTTTGTGCTTACAAGAAGTTACCACACCAATCGCGATAATACTTCTCTAAAACATTCAAAGCACCAATCTCCTTTACTCCTTCCACGATTACTCATCAACCTTCATCAGATCTGTAATTGTATTAGTAATGTTGATATTGTATATAAATACCTTGGAATCATCAACAATCACAATAGAAGGTATCTATCTACCATCGTATTATCTTTGTGGTTACCTGTCGGTATTACTCTTCGTGGTCTTACTTCTCTCTGTGTGGTCTTCTCCTTCTTTGTGGTTCTCTCTGTGTGGTCTACTCCTGTGGTTTTCTATTTCATGAATTACGACAGAAAGACAAAACTTAGTTTTCTCTCCTTCTATGTACTCGAAAGATTACAGAGCTCTTCATTTTATCCTTCATTCACATATCCAAAGAATCTATGCTAAATACAAAAACTAGATCGAATGCAAATTCAATTTTGCTTTCTTTCAGCTGTTCACTCCACATGTTGCTTTATTCATAAAGGGATTTTAAAGACTTTATTCTATCATATCATTGTCTTTTACTCTATTTATTTTTTCGATATACAAGATCATGCAGAGCAGATTTGAATAAAGTTTATATCCAATCCTATCCAACTCACGACGAGCTATGTTGACTATATAATGATCAAGTGTAGCGGCCTAAAGCTAGAATAGACACAGAAATAACGAACGACTTATTGATATACTTTGTGCCATTGCTCAACCTGATAATCACACTCCACTCTCTGCAGAAAAGCCTATAGATTTTCCACTGATAAATATAAAGACAAAAAGATGAATTCACAACAGTTTCTGATATGGATGGTTGTAAGTCAAGCAACAGAAACTAGTATACATTAATGCAGTGTCTGTATATGCATATCAAAATGACCTACAGCCTTTTATTGTCGCCGCTGATGCGATGCTTACTCTTGCCAAGCTTTCATTCGTCTTCTTGGCGATCTCGTAGGGGTCACAATTAGACGGGTTGGGTCAAGGTCTTCACCGAACTTGGAAAGCAGTGCAACAAACTCTGTATGCTCTTTCACAAAGTCAGCAATGCTGGGTGTTTTTCGGTTCGTGTGGGGCCCTTTCAAATAGGCTTCTATTACTATAAGCGAGATAGAAACAATTAAGTTAACGAAAAGCAGATCTATAAATTCTGCTCGCTCAATCACCTGTCCGGATCTCTATGGTAGCAACAATGGTGCATAGCAATGGAAAGACCTACTATAGAATGCGTATTCGCCCTTAATTGAGTTCAAAGTAGATGATGGCTGAGAAGAGTAATCCTTAATTGTAGATAAATCTTTTAAATGTTTGATTTTGTAAAACTTATTGTTTAAATTTTATATAAAAATCGATATAACTTCTAATTGATTTATCCTTAATGATAATGACAATAAATAAAAAAAAATATTTTTTTATTATTTTATATTTAAGAAAAAAATAATAAAATTATCTAAATATTTATTATTTAGAATAATTTATTAATTTTGATCATTAACTTAAAGACTTAATGATTAAAAAGATGAAATATATAAAATGTTTTATCTTTTGATCAATAATTCTTCTAATGACTAAACTTTCCTTTACGGACTAAATTCCCCAGAGTAGTAACGAGGATATTAACTTATAGTAGTAAGTTGCTCTACCCTCTAAAGTTGTAAGTTGGAACTTACAACACGACTCTTTTTGTATGAGCCTGTAGGCCCATGTCACATATACATAGCAGTGTTGTGCTAGAGACAATAGGAAGAGGTAGAAAGTACAGAATAAAATGTAGAGAGGGACGAAAATAAGTCTATTAATCTAAGGCAGTGATCTTGGGAGCCGAAGCTGAGCAAGTAGCTATATTGCTAGTAAGATCACCATATAGTGGTTTAAAGGGACTCGGTCGAAAATCCAAGTCCAGTAGACACGCCAGCGTGCCAGGAGGATGGATTGAACGACCATGGTCCGTAGTAGGTGCATAGTTGTGGTAGGGGCTTCATGCTAGTCTAGATTGATGATGAAATGTAGGAGGACATTACGGTCTAGTTCGGTGTAAAAGACTAAGGAAGCCCCAGACTTGTTTCCATACTGCCTAACACAGTAGGCAATAGATAAGAAAGTGACAGGTAGTATCAATCAAACCTAGGCATAATTGGCATCACGAGCTTGGCATAAAATCCGGAACAATATGGTGAAGGAGACTGGCAGTGAGGAGTGTGTGATGGATTGTGCGATACCAGAGATTTCAGGTTGGATGGTGCATCGTACTAAGCCAGAACTGGCGCCAACATCTAGCAGTAGATGTCATGGAGCGTGGCGGCGTTCAAGTAGTGCTTAAAATGAGACAACGAAAAGTGCGAGTGGTGAGACCTTGGTTGGTGAAATGGACAATGAAAAGGGGGGCGCAGCACGCTACCATCGGCGGTGCCTCGCTGCCCATTGTGTTGAGCCAATAGATGAGATGCTGTGAGACAAAGTCGACTGAAAAAAGTATTACAGTATGATGCTGCCATGCTACATGGTTTTGAAAAAGTGGCGAGTGACACGTGGATGGGGATTGAATCGTCCTGTGGTAGACGTCGTCGTAGAAAACTATTTGTCGTGTCAAAGAGGTACAGATCCGATACTTTCATTTTCTTGAGGGTCAAGGAGCGGAGCAAGTCCTTGACACCGGCATTTTCTGCGCAGCAACGGTAAGCAGAGCCCAAGTGCCAGTAGGATATAGACGGACGACGGTGGCAGTTGAACTTGATCAATTGAGGCGAGAGTAAGTGACGCTATTGTCGAAGGTTGTTGCTGTAGAAGACGAGGGCATGTTTCAGGGAAGGCGAGTAGGAGGCAATGATCGGCAGATTCGATGTGATGCACAGCAGGTGGTGCGCCAGATAAAGTATTACCAGGGAACCTAATGTATTGGCGTTAGGATAATCGACTAGAGGTTGTATCCAACGTAGTTGCAGTGCTTGGTGCTGTGCTCGAGGGTCGAGAACTTGTAAACCGCCTGTTGCTATGGTTGCTGGAGACGGGATATGGCGATTCGGGGAAACTTGCGGTGCGAGATAAAGCTGGATATGACGCTCTGTAACGTATTTAAAGGACGAAGCAGAGGTATCGGTTACGGTTAACCTCAGGACATACCATAGTCGAGAGAGTAAGAATGTGCTGAGAAATGTTGCACGCCCGTGCACAGACAGTTGGCGTTGTTGATGTAGATAGCAGCCGTTGCGTATACTGATAAGGAGTCGATCTATAAAAAGGCGATGTTGTGCTGTAGATGTTGCCAGAGGAACCCCAAATAGATCGCTGCTTCAGCGTTCGAGCGATCGTGACAGGTAGGGTATATGGAAGTCAGACACCGTCGCCTGTGTTGCAATGATATTGTACCCCTTTTCACATGGCGTATCATATTTATTGCTTTCATTAGTTCTCATTATCGTCCCCATTTCTTCTTACACCGTAATTGGTTGATTCCTAACCCTAATAACACTGTGGTCGCATTCACGCGACAGCAATAAAAATTCTCAATGCCTTTGGTACCTCTCCCTCTCTGCGTTTTCTTTTTCGCTTCATAAATCAAAGATAGCGCTTTTAAGCCGTCTCAAGTAGAAAGCGGAATGCATACTTGGAGGTGCGTGGGTCGATCCCGCATTGATTATGTCCCTCTACCTTCTGCGTTTTCTATCAAAAGCTCTACCATTGTGCTATCGTAACTCGTCGCTTTACAATGTCTTCTTAAGCTAAGATCGTGGTCCTTTTGATTTTATTGTTGGATAGAAAGTAACAACTACCAAGGCAACAGGTAGCGCCTTTAAAATTGGAAATGCTGCCTTATAAATATATATATTGTCATGAAACAATTCTTCGTTGCTCGAGAGATACTGCTCAGCAGTGAGCCGTATATATGTTTGACCAAAAACCTCCTAACGGCGATGTGATACTTTATCGTATGATATAGCAATTGTATGTTGGGCTCGGCCTACTGGAATTGCTCAAATATGCCAGTATTACGGAGTGAGTTCTCTAAGGGAAAAGTTCGACGAAACCAAGCAACGTTCGTTTGGCGTTGCTAAACAGTGTCACAATATGGTTTTGCTCTATGGGATAGTGGCATAAACTTATGGTTGTCACTTATGCTAACAGGGCTATCTTTTTATTTTATAGAAATAAATTAAATGCTGTCGAGTGCACGATTTGTGAAACGCCGATAAACATGGATCAAGTTCAGGGCAAGATAATGTCCAGGATCTTTCAACTATCTGCTTTTGTAAGTGCCACATGTGTGCGTATGTTTGAGAAACAGATAAACGGAGCTCTCATATCGGGAAATTTATTAACATGTTACTAACCATAGCCTTTTAGCACTCATTTACCTTTACACAGATCTTCAGTCCCACCCAGCTCTTCATGGCACATCAGCACCAATGCATTATCAAGTACTATTTAAGAAAAATCAAGTCTTAACGAGAGCTTACATATCAATTTCGCTATATCTACCTTCGTGCCACGCGTGCAGTATCATTTGTACTTGATATGCTCGAATTCTGTGCTGTTTCCATTGCCTAATTGAACATTGGTGCGTTACTAAAACCGAGTCATCGTCTGAATATTGCTGAGCCAAGCAAAAGAAGAAAGGTTGTGGCGCTGTGGGACTCAAATTATAGAAAGGTAAAGTTTCGGTGCTGATAAAGTTAAAAGAAAACGTGAGGAAAGTTATTACATGACTAATGGAATTTTATGTACTGCTATACTTGTGCCAGCTAGTCACTTTTTTACGATTTATGTACTACATGTGAAGAAGCGATCAAAATTATTTCCCTTCATTTAGCGGTGTACTTCTTATCCTGTTACTGTGTACCCATTTCAGCTGCTTGTATCATGAAAATTGTCTATAAAAAGTGCTGTTGAAATATCCTGCCTATTATATGCGAGAATGTACATATATATAGCTTGGAATAGCAGAGGTAGATAAGAAAGGAACAAGGCTATTGTAATGGTATACAGTGTTTAAAAAAAGTAATTATAGTTTGCTTTGATTTCAAATAATAAAAAGAAAGGAAGATGTGAAGCTACTGTGAAGGACATACTTTTCAACATTACCCGAAAACAGTGCCTTTCAAACAACAGCTGCTCCTGTGGTAGTAGAAGTATAATTTCTCCATCGTGTCAATTAAATAGTAAGGTGCCTACAAACGAGGACCGAAACACGATGCATTCTAGCTTCAGATACTGGAATAAATCAAAAAAACTTTCCTTCTAATTCTATATTGATACTGGTTCGTAATCTGCCCTTTTACTCTGTTTTGGTTTCAGCTGAAACTATGTGATTGAATCTTGAAGAATAATGACAGATCTGATTGATGTAAGTACTACGGAATTACAGGATGAGAATACTGAATAATGAATAATGACGAAATTACATAATGAAAACGCTTAAAAAACATGACAGATGAAAATTGGTAAAAGGTAATATGGTATATGAGATTATGTGCTTTTTTGTTTTTTGTTTGACGAGGTCGCTGATGTGGAGGAAGTTATAGCTGATGATGATGATGGTGCAGATGATGCAGATGACACTGAGCCAGGGAGAAACGTAGTGGGAGGAATGGCTGGATTTGTTCAGAATGTCAACGTCGACAAAGGCACTTCATAAGAACTGTAGGTTTCATATGTGTCCTCAGCTATTTGCTTTCCACAAGCAGCGAGTTTGAGAAGAGGGCATAAGCGCAAGACGAAATTATCCTTGATTGGATATTCTGCTGGCCTTATACATCGATTTCTAGTGATATACCCTTGCAGTATATCCATGTCAAGAAGGACAATATCATTGCCTAAGAGTTGTGGGGCACATAGTAAGTATCCTTACCAACATTAAGTTACTTATCCAAGGGGGACATCTAACTCCAATTAGATATTAGATAATACTATTGGCTGTAAAAATCCAAATTGTACAAAAAATTGAATTTTGTGTATATATAAAAATAATTGGTAAGAAAGGAATGCCAGGTATAAATTCACATTATGTTATATACCAGTTGAAGAAAATATTATAAATAGTAGAGTATGCAATTTTATAATATACCAAGATTATGCTTATTGATATATTCCTTCAATAAATCCTTTTGATTAAATTTATCAATTGATAACCAACTGTTATCATCAGCACTATATCCAACCCATTTTACCTCAAACAAATATGTACCATTTTCTGTTTTATGCCTAATAATCTCTTCTATTTCATATGATGCCATTGCTTGTTGTTTCCCTTTATTTCGCTTTCTTTTTTTACTACGCTCATTAAATATTGGAACATCATCATTATCACTATTACTCTGATTTGAATTATTATCAGATTCATTATCAACAATCATTTCTTCATTTGATATAGCCATATTAAGCAGGTCATTTTGCAATCTAATCATTTTATCCAGTTTATCTTTATTTTGTTTATCATTGCTGACCACTATATCAATTAGTTTATGTCTACTGGAAAATTAAAATCATTACTGTGCCATAGTTTATGGTGTGGTAAAATAGGAATATTGAACATTTCTACAAATTTTGTAATATTTTTTAATAAACAAGCTACACGAAATTGCAGATTATAGTATTTTATGTTATCCATTTTAACAACTGACTTATTATTATTGAATCGGCAGAATTTATTCCCAATTTCTGAAAAATGATTCTCAACTTTTGTCCTAAAACTTTCAAATGTCTTATTAAAATGATCCTCAGTAATTGTTAAGGGCTCATTTACATTTTTACGTATAGGGTATACAAAATTATCATGGCTAAAGTTATATCCTTTTTCATTAGCAAGCTCTGTAAATTATGTGATAAACAAAGTATATCCACCATCAACTGCCATTATGTCATTCTCATGCATATATTTAAATGATTTCATGTTTAAAAACATGCTACCATCTGAGCTATCAGAACAAAAGTCACTTTTATAAGTATAAATAATCATATCATTCATATCACTAACAAAGTGGGTACGTATTCCATTCTTCTTAAATTTATAAGAATACATTCTTTGAAAGTGGTCAATTTCAGTATCTATATAGTTAATTCTTGAATCATGACCATCCAATACAAGTGTTACATATTTAAATAAGTCGGGATTATGCTTTCTAGCAGATAGAATACATAATTTGATAGATGAAAACATGTTATTCATTGAATCATTTACTATTTTGTTGATCCATTTGTAGTTGTCCTCATCCATCCAAAACTTTTTATAAAATGTATGAAATGTGCTATGTGGTAAGTATTTTTCAAATTTTTCACCACATACTCCAGAGACTAAATGATATAATAAAAACAATCCTTTTTCAATTTCAAAGTAAGGTCCAGGATATTCCTTGTTTGTATATAAAACTACTAGAAAATAGAATACAGCAACATAACCTAATTTATGTAACAATTCATCCTTAATTTTTTCTATGAATTTAATATGTTTCAAATCAGTTCTAGGTTTATATTTATTATGTACAGTAGGCCAATTCCATTCTAGGAATTGCCAATAATTTGCAATAATTGAGTTTACTTCATTTGTAATTAGTGGTGTATAGTCTGTTGTATCCATTGGGTCGTTCTTTGTTTATATTATGGATTTTCAATTTTTATAATCATTGAATACATGATTTTGGTCACATGATGTCATAAAATTGATAAAATATCAAAATGGATGATATAATTTACAGAATTGCTCGAGCGACCAAATTTTTCCTTGCGTAGACCAAATTTTTACATATAGGAGTTTAAACATCCGTTACACATGTCTCCTCTACTATCTTCACTCCTTCGGGAGACCAAACTTCTCCCCACACCAATTTCAGATTTTCCTTACAATCTGTAATTCCTTGCGTAGACCAAAAAAAAGTGGAAGTGTAATTCTTTGTGTAGACCAAAAAAAACAAAAAACAAATAAACTCTAAATAGTGATAGCAAACACTCCATTGCGACTTGTCAGCTGCAAACACAAACACTCAAGAAGTTATTTGAAACATTGCTGCGCCAGCTACTTCTTTACAAGAGCTGTCCGAAATTATACTGTAACACCATTGTCAAGATTGCTCAGCTTTTTTTACCTTCTCCGATACATACTACTATTTGCTGCGGTATCTACTTATCATGCTGTTTGTCGCTGCTGAGCGTTCAGTACAGTAACCCACTATGCCGCAGCAATTTGGCTATGCAATGTGCTTTGTCATCTCTTGTATGAGATGCGTATTTACTCGTATATGGTATTGAGTGAAAAAAAAGTATAAATATCAGGACCAATTGCTAG